ACTATGTAAAAATATTAAGAAAATTATAAAATATAATATAGAACTAAAAATAAATATATACTAATATAGGAAAAAAATAAATTCTATTACAATATGTTATTTCTTAAAAACCATCTAATAAACTTTATGCATTCTTCTTTTGTTTCTTCTAGTACATTGTGTGCTGATATATTTGTGAATAAGCTATTGTTCTGATTACATTTTCTCTTGCTTGGGGCCTATATACTCTCTTCAAGAGGTTCTTCTACTATGTTAATTTTTTTTTAATTTCTAGTCTAATGTCTTTTTGTTCTTGCTCTTCTTTTTGTTTTTTTGTATTTTTTTTTGGCTAGATGAATTCTCTTTTTCTTGATTATTGTTTATCTAACTTTCCTTTATGCTTGCTTCTCTTTGTGCACTTTCTGCATTGTTCTGCACTTCTTTTTTAACTGTTTCTTTAATTTCTGTTTTTCTTTCCTGTGGCATTTTGTATTCTTCTTGTTTTTAGTTCAAGTTCATCAACTGTTCTTGAATCTCTTTTCCTTTGTCTTGTATGTGTCTTGTTGTAAATTCTTGTATTATATTATTTTTGTTTGTTTGATAGCATTTATTCTTTTTTCTGACTGCTTATCTTCTGCTTTCTTAATTATTTTTTAGTTATATATAACAAAGCAACCTTTAATGCATCTTGTCTTGTTAGCATGATTATGATTTTATTTTCTCTTTCTGATATTACAGATATTCTTTTAGCTTGATTAAAAAACACCTTGTTGTGTATGCTATTTACTGCCAAATATGCTCTTCTAATGTATGTTGTCATTAAACTTTCTTTTCAATTTTGTATGCTATTCATATTTAGTCTAATTATTATTGGCTTCTATTTGTTGCTTGTTGTTCTTGAGCTTTTTATGTTTTATATCTAACCCTATCCAAATTGGGCTTATTTGCACATCCTTCAATGATATGTTTGTTTTATTTGTCTATTTATATGTTGCTGTAATCTATAAATCTGCATTTCCAAGTTATAGAAAATTTCTCAAAATTTTGCTTTCCAAAATGTCAACTAAGGTGTTTTCCTCTCTATCTTCTTTATCAGGTCTTCTAATTCTCTACTTTCTTCTTGTTATATCTTCTTTACAATCTCTATCTTTTTTGTTAGACCTGTAAAGTTAGTTTTAATAGTCATTTTCTGATAAACTTCTAAAATTCTTTTCTACAATTTTGTATACAAGTTATTAGCAGAAAGAGTTGTAATTAAATGTTGTATCTAATCAAATTATAAACTCAATAAAATACAAATAAACTTATATTTATACATTATTCATTATAACTAAATACCTTCAACAATCAAAATATAAAGTAACAACCAAAACATAAAACAAAATAATCTTCAACATTATGTTATTTTATCTTATTCATTTGCTATAACATTTACTTAAAACTAAAATATTTTAAACAAAAACTCTTAATTTATTTATTAAGCTTAAATACTCTTATATAATATAATTATTTTAATAAACAATTTTAACTTTATAAAAATTACTTTCTAAATAATATAATCTATTATACAATTTATTTTTACTAAACATTCTACTAATTTATATAATTACATTCTCTTTATTAATCTAGATTATATTTAAATATACAAAATATATCAAATTATTATTTTTTTTTTAAATATTAAGGTGAGTACATGCAATCCAGAATTTTATTTGTAGTATCAGTTGGCCAGCATCTGTTGACATAATAGTCAGAAGCAATCATAGAATGAATATACAACTAGTTACTTATACAACTTTAGTCATTATCTAATTTAAATAGTCTGTCTGAAAGTTCTATACTAGTTGCTATATCTAGAACTTATTTGTAGAACCTATATTAAACACTCTAATCTTATATTCACTACACCCTACCAATAACTCTAGTAAACTAGTAAAGATATACCATGGTCACTAAGTCAAATTTAACTTTATACTAAACCTATCAGTGCATTCTGTATTTTATACTTATAGCTTACCCAGTATTACTTTGGTTCAAACCATTACTTGCAGTCAGTGTTAATTATTAAAATACTTTTGTCTTTGTAAGATTTATCCAAAACTCCAGTATCTATCTTTCTAATATTTTTTTCATTGTCATCTACTAACCACTACTCAGGACTGACAGGACTCTTTAGACTTCTAATTTAGATAGCCTAATATGGCATATCTTAGTATCATTTTTTCTGATAATTCTAGCAGTCTGGTTGGTCATAAGCTTCTCTATACATTTTGCTATCTGGTTTATTTGCCTATCTTATTGGGAATGCATTATAGGCTTTTATCAGTCTGATAGTACTATTAAAAGTTTTATGCTATTTGCTTACTTAGGATTTCCAAATAGGTTTCTAACTCTTTAGTTTTTCACTTTTTATGCCTAGTGGTTTTATCATATGTTTGCACTAAAGTCTTTTGCAACACTAGTTATTAATATTTCTTTATATAGATGTAATATTATGCTTTGTATAGATGTCCTAAGCTCCTATTCAAAATAATGCAACTAAAGATTACAGATACACTAACCCAACTGATCAACAAAAACAGTTATCATAACACAGACTTATTTTTCAAAATTCATCATTTATAGGATTTGAACTCTAGACCTGCACTTAGGGGTTGACAACCTGACTACTTCACTAGGTTACTACATCCCAAATATACCAAATTATTCTCTGTAACTTAACTTATATTTAATTATATATATATATAATTGTAATTTTTACTCTCTGCAACTTAATTACAGCTTTAGTTAATTGTATATAATTAAGTAACCTAAACTTTAATAATTATATAATCTTATATGTTTAAGTAATCACTATGACTAATTAAGCTAATTATTTATAAAATAGTTTTGTAACTCTGTCAAGTTGCAATAAAACCAGAAATATAAACAATAATCTATTAGTGCACTTATTTTTTTCTCTATCAAATATTTTAACAACATATTTATATTAGCATTTATAATAATAAAAAAATATACAAATAAGACATTAATGATATATATTTGTGTTACTAAAATTGAATTAGATTAAAAAATAAACACAAAGCTTTTTAAAATTATCAAAATATGCTAATATGAGTTGTGTTAAAGAAATAACAGTATGTTGATTATTGTATAAACATAGATCAAAGTCATAAGAACATTCTAATACTATAATAACAAATATACTTAAATTCAAAAATTAGAAAAAAATTTTTTTTTTATAAAATAATCAAGTATTACAAAGATTATTTTAAAATAAATAAATAAAGAAGGTTATATAATAATCATATACTTAGTCTGTATATTTATTAATGCTGCCCAAGTTTGGAGTTATATTATACATATTTATATTATAATTACATATTAATTTGATTAATAATTTCTATATATATATATAAGATACTAATCTACTATTTGTTTTCTAGACTGTTTTGAATATAAGCAATTATATTATATTATAAAAAAGGTGAGCAAGAAAAAGATGATGAAAAGAAAGTTACATAATTATTATCTAACCTTCTTTATTTGTCTATTTTAAAATGATCTTTATAATGCTTGATCATTTTATAAAATAAATCTTACTTAAGTTTAGATTCTGATTATATGCTTGTATGAAGTATATAGATTTCTGTTAAGTTGCTTAATTGATAATAGCAATAGGTAGGTTGTTATATTCAAATATAATCTGTATGTTGTGTTAATAAAATTATTAGTGTATTACATAACTAAACCAATTACTTAAGACCAAAATAGCTAATAATTTAGCATCTCAATTCTGTGCAAAAAAGGTTGTTAGTACTTTTGTATCTTTTGCTATCAAGTTGAGGTCAAGTAATTCAAAATTTTCTTTATCCACTTAGCAACTGTATTTGGAAACAATGATTTATTAATACTGTTAGATACTAAAATAAACATTTATTTAACTTTTCTGTTATTCTATATATATTAGTTTTTTTTAATAATCTAATTAAAGATGATAAAGAATATATTAAAGAAGTTTCTTTATATTTTCAAATGAATATAATTTTTGATCATTTTTGACAACTTTTAGCAACAAAATTTTTGCTTCTTTTGGCAAATTATATTTGAAATTACTGCCACCAAAAGTATTAGATAATGTTAATAAATTTAGTTAAAGTAAATCAAAAAGGCAAGTCCAGTACTAATGCCAAGAAGAAGGCCAGTTTTTATGTTTATAATAAGTCTTTATTGTTTCTTTAGAAAATAATAATATCAAATAAAAAAAATATCTGAAATGTCTTGTAAAAATTTAAATAAAAATTTATTTTTTAAATTTCTTTTATAACCCTAACTATTATTAAAAGTGTTCTTATTTTTGTACCTTCAACTTTATAGTATACCTTACTAATTGCAGAACAGTATTCTGCAATAGTATTATAAGTCTTGCCTAATTTTTTCTAATAGTCTAAAAATTCTATAATCTTGATAATATTGCAATTAATAAGGTTAATGGTCTGAATATTACATCAATCTTTCTAAGTGCATATATAGAATGTAATTGTAGTAGATGCTGATAGATTAAGAGAACTTGAATATTGTAGGTGAGTATTTTTGACTTTGAAAAGAGTTTTAAAGATATATGCTACACAGATTCTTTATGCTAAATTATGTATTGAATGTATCTGAGAAGCTTGTTCTGGCAGAATTGTCTATGTAAAAATCAGTAGAAGTTCTGATGCTATTATCTTTTTAAGTAGCAAGAACCAAGATGCTAATATTTATAATGAAAAAACTATTACTGCTTAGGCTCTGTCTTGAATTATCTTGAATATAACCCTGTTTAATAATATTCAGAAAAGGTTTATATATCTTATAAATCTGTCTATAGAATTTAAAAGACATTTATTGTTTATTAGTTATTTGTGTTCTTTTATATATTAAATTCTAGAAGTTTTGTGTTTTTTATATTTGCAAATAAGTTTATGTTCATAGGTTCCAGTTGGTAATTTATTTTCTAAAAGAATTTTAGATAAATATTCTAATCATATCTGTTGATTAATTATAATGCTTTGTCTACTATTATATTTTCTTTTCTAGATATGTAAATTGCTATAATTCTTATTAATTTCTCTAAGATAAAAGTTCAAATTGACTTAACTATTCTGCTTACCAGGAGAGATATTATGCCACTCTGGTTGTTGAGATAAGTAACTATAGTAATGTTGTTCAATATAATTTTTATATTTTTTATTTCTTAATTTAAGAAGTATTTTAAGGCATTCAACATAGCCAGTGCTTTGAGTACATTTATGTGTAGCTGTTGCTTGTTCAGTGCCTATCTTTCTAAGATTATTGGGTTTTTATAGGTTATCTTTAGCCAGAGTAAGAAGTATCTGTAAAAATTGTATACTCAGCTGATCTTAAATTAATGACATTTTGTTTAATTTCTGAAGATTGTTTATTTATCAAATAAGTTATACTATATTTTGAAAGAATAATAAAAATATGGAGTCCTATACTAACCTTTTCAATGCAATATTTTTGTTTTGTAATAAATCTCTGATTATAAGTTAAGCAAGAAAAATTGCATTTGTTGTTGCAATTAATTTTCTTATCAAGTTAGCAAGTTTGCAAATATAGATAATAGATTTGGTGAGTGTAAGTTTGCATTCTCTTATAACCTCTTTTACTTTGTAATAAAGCAAAGAAATTGTTATTTTTAATGAGCATATAATAAAACTAAAAAATTTAATAAACTTTAAAGATGTTAAAATTGATTTTTTCCAGTTAATAGAGAAACCTAATGAGGCCAATAGAATTATAGTAGTATCTAAATATTTTATAGTTTTAAGTTTGTATTTTCTACTATAAGCAATTTATCTAGGTATACTACAATTCTAATGCCAGATATATGTAGATGTTTTATAGTAGAGCATAATATCTTTGTAAAAATTAATGAACAGATAGATAAACCAAATAATAGAGCAGTGAACATATAATGTTTTTTAAAGAAATTAAATATAAAGAAGGTCTGGTTTTATTTTTTAATAAGAATATTTTTAAAAATATTCTTTATATTTAAAAATGCTATAAAGTATTTAAAAATATTAAAAGCACTCTATCCGGTCGATAGTGCAGTAGTTAGTGCTCTGAGGGTCACAATCGCAAGGTTGCCGGTTCGAGTCCAACTGGGAGATAAAAGCATGCCAGGACCATGATTGAAAATGATCTTTAAGAGAAGCTTTCCACTTTCGGATGGATTACTACAATGTTAAATAAGTCATGTAACATAGTCACAAAGGTCATGTGGCACCCAGAAAAGGGAAAATCTGACACGAAACGTCATTAACATAAGGTTTCCCAGCTTAAAGTAATAAAGAAATGAATAATAGAAGAATGATCTGGCTGGTGGGTTATGTGAAGTTAGGGAACTGCAAACCGAATAAAGATAGTAGGTCCTACATTGCAGAACCAGGGACCCGAGACATCATATGATGGACTTAACAGAGCATGAGCTATCTCATGAGCATGGTGATGAATATAAAGGCCACCTGCCATTTGATGATCTCTGCAGAATGATAACTCTGGCCTTTAAGAGATGTGACAGATCCTAAAGATGTCTAAGAACCTTCAGGATAGTGGAGGGAGATAAAAAAAAAAAAATATTAGAAGCTTTACTGTTTCTATGCTCTCTATTTTGAAATAGTAATATATTAAATACTAATTGAGGTATTTAAGATCTAATACTAAACAATTTTTGTCATTTTTCTTAAAATTACAATATCCATTAAGTAAAACATAAAAGCATAATAGGAATTGGTTTTATAATATCTTTTTTTATAAGCTTATTTACTTCTAACATAATTAATTAATTATATTGATAATGTGAGATAAGTTATATAATTCTTGGTAAGGTTAAAAACTAAGTAAAAAAATAATCTTGTTTTATAATTTTCATAATTAAAGCTTCTTCAAATAGTTGTATCCAATTTGCTATATATAATCATAAACCTAATTTTTGTAAAAGAAAAGTTAATTTTAAATCTTAGTTGTATTCTGTTTTGTGTTAAAAATATTGTTTCTTGTATTAGATGAGTGACTTCTAATATTATTTTTAAAAAAAATCTGAGTGTATTCTAAAATCTTTATGATAGATAAAGAAAAACTTTTTTTCTAGCTAAAACACTTGTTACAGTTATAACATTTTTGGTAATACAAGGTATTGTTGAACAGCTTATTTTTTGTATTCTTCTTGTTTTAGTATGTTTCTAAGTTCTGTAGGTCTGAAAACTTCCTTATGTTCAGATGCAAGTTAAATATCTTTGCAAATTGCTTGTTATTCTTTCTAAAATTTCCAAACATATATTTTCCTAATTTTAATTTATTAACAAGGGTTAAAAATGATATGTTTATTGTATACATGTGTTTGTAATATAGCTTTTCTTTTATCTAAAAAAAGCAAGTTATTTTTAAAAATTTTTGTAGATAAGTTATGCATTTCATTTGATAGTTGACAAGTAAGTTCTTTTTTTTGTTTATCATCTTTATGGTATTACTATTAATATCTTTATCTCAAAGTGTATTTGCAGCATTTTGTATAGAAACTAACTTATATTCATTATACTGGTTATTACTTTGTTCTGAGACTGATAATGGGATTGATTGTTTGACATAAAGAGAGTTTTGTTCAAAGTGCAGAAAATGCCAAAAAAAACAATCTAAAAAACAAATAGTAAATTAGTACCTTATATATATATAGAGAGTTATTAATCAAATTAATATTGTAATTATAATATAAATGTATATAATTAACTTCAAACTTAGGATGTGTCAATAAATATACAGTCTAAGCATATGATCAGGATCTAAACTCTGAGTAAGGTTTATTTTTTTTCTAAATGAAAATTATATACCCTTTGAATTGTCTAAAAAATCTAAATTATTTGATATAAAAGTCTAATTGTTTTTTTGTGTGATGGCTAGATCTAAAGCAGGTTTTAAACAAATGATTAGTATATAATTTACAATTATATATTATAGTATTAGCATATGTTTTTATTTTTGACATCATAGTGGTATCTTATATCAGATCCAAATTTGAAATTTATTATAATAATGCATTTATAATTTCTATAAGTTATTTTTATAACAGAAGAGAATATATCTGATTCAAAGTAAATTCCACATATGATGTAATCAATTAAAACTAAAATTATTTGTTTTCATTTTAATTGATTACACTATGTGTTGCATTCACTTTGGATTGGGTATGTTTCCTTCTGTTTATTTTTATAAATTAACAAAATGTATTTTGTGTTATGAAAATTATCTAATTACTATATCCAATCAAATTCAAGATTTTGTGAACAAATGCAAAATTTAAGTTAAACTATACTCTTTATTATACTATGTTCCTAGCATTACTTTCATTCTAATACAAAAAAATATATATAAATTAACAATTGTAGTTAAATTGTGCCAATAATTCTATAATCTCTCCTAAAATAATATTTAAACTATAAAATTCTAATATATATACACTATGTATCAGTAAAATTCTTACAATGCAATGTACTCATTACTAACTTTCTTTACACAACTCAAGCACCTAGTTTGTTTTTAAAATTTTTATTTGGTAGGTGATATTACCTGGTTGTATAAAAACTAATCAGATTGCTAGATATTGTGTAATCAAATCAAAGAGAAGATTTTATTAAAAAAACATGCTCTGACTTTTAAGCAAAACCTTTTAGCATAAAATTTTACATATATCTAAATTCTTTTAATCTAACCTAAAGCAAACTCTAACCTCCAACATTAAATTTATTTACTTGTAATAAAAATTTTATAATATCAGGTAATATCAACTAGAGGAAAAAATTAATTATAATCTATTATCTATATCTAATGAGATAAATTTCAACAAATTCCTGTTTAAATTATATTTTTTTTAAAAAATATTAAGGTGAGTACTTGTGACTCAGGATTTTATTAATAGTATATTTGGCTAATAGTTGCATTACAACTACAGAGTGCAATCATAGAAAGAGTGTACAACTAGCCACTTGTATAACTTTAGTTATTGTCTAATTTAAGTAATTTGCCTGAAGGTTTTACACTAGCTGCCATATCTGGAACCTGCTTGTAGGTTCCCTATTTAACTACTCTAGTTTCTGTATTTACTCATTTACCTTTGTCTACCAACAACCCTGGCCAATGCTAGTGAAAATATGCTATAGTCACTAAGTCTTTAAAGCAGTTCTTTTAGAACCTTTGACTTTGTACTAAACCTTTTAAAATCTTCTTATCACATTCTTATAGCTGATCTAATATCCTATAACTAAGACCAACACTGATAGTCAGAGTGTACTATTAAACTATTATGTCCTTGTAGAGTTTACTCTAACCCTAGTACTTACTTTACAACATATTCTTACTACTTTGGTATTCAATTCAAATTTATTAAGCTGCCATTTCAGATAATCTAAAAAGGTAGATTGAAACCATACACCTCTGATTTACATGTTTGCTAACATATACACTTTTTTTCTAGAACCTAGAAATTTCAACAACTTGGTTGGTTCATTTAGTTCCTTCTTAAAGACCAGCACATTTGCCCAGTTTCACAAGTTCTAGCTCCATTTTATAAGTCTAGTTTTTATAGTAGCACTGTTGAAAGCTTGGGTTATCTCTTTACTCAGGTCTTTTAAGTGGGCTTCCATCTTTTTTTTTTTGGTTTCTATGATTTACATGACCACAAGAACTTATTGTAGATTTGCACCATCCAGTACCAGTTTGCATTTCTT